AACATGAGATTAAACTTTTGTGAGAAAAATGTACATGGCCTAAAATGCATAATGTATCAAATGATCATCAATCATGTCAAAAAATAGTTAGTACGTAACTAGGTTTGGGATAAAATTTCCAGTATATGCAAGAAGACTATTGTCTAAAACATTAATTTTACAACTAAAAAGAAATTAAGGCAACCTGCAATGATAATTTGTTTTAAAAGAAGTTAGGGTTGAGGTCCAGGATACCTGATTCGTCAGTACACCCCTTGCACGTAAATTTTATCAACAGTCCAAATTTCCATAAATTCATATATTTAGGTTGCAAATTTGGTTGAAAGAAACCGCAAATCAGGCACACACCCAACATTGAGTGTCCATGATGCCTGAGAGAGCTTTAGGGCTAACCATGTCCAAATTATCAAAGGACCAACTCAGCCGGAGTTGAAACATTTAGAGGAAAGCAATTATTCCATCCCAATGCAAATGTGGGATTTCCTTGCTTGTCTAAGTTCGAAACGGAAGCATTAGAATGTTTTCCATGTTTCTTTAGACAATGCTTTACAGTCAGTTACTTTCCAATATGGACAAACATTTATTTTTTCCCCAAATGGAAAAATATCTTTAACTACGGTTCAGTTCTACAAGGCTCCGATAGAACTCCAGACTAATGAACTTTTTGAAGTTCGATGCTCCCGTTCTTCCCTGCAGTATCCTAGTGTAAGGGAAATAAATGTGGATAGAGGAGAAGACGAAGGAAGGCAGGAAGAATCATGAAACAATTTTGGAGGTAGATCTTCCTGAAAAGAAGATGCATCTATGTTCTTGCTTAAAAAAGAAAAAAGGGAAAGTCCGAAATCAAAGAAATTCCCGTATCCCCCAAAAAAGGTAAACTAGGGATTTTACAATTTTATAAAAACCTGCTTCACTTATGTGGAGGACGCTGGGCATGCTTAACTTTTGGCTTTATTATTACCTACCTCCCNTGAAAAGTAAGTTAGAAACAACAATGACACTCAATCCCGAGATCTAATACTCCACCCAGTTATGAGATCCTTTCCTTCAGAGGAGATACATAACCAGAAGGCATTTGGTTTTGTAGTTAATGTCCACTATTAGATATGCCAGAACTTTTGAAATTGAAAACATGAGGTACAACAAGAAAAGGAGTTAATGCATTTTTTCTTAAGTTATGCTAGACATGATTTACAACCTTAACTTTGGTTATGTTTCCATTTATTCACTGAGGTACTTGACAAACATCTCTAAGGAACTAATCTTTTGGAATTTAGTCCTACCAATTATTGGCTTTCAATCAGCTAAATCTCCAAATATTTGACCTCAAAGAAAGACATCAGGAGTAATATTGAGTCCATAAACAAGTCATAAACATCGAGAGATTATGCAAAAAATAAGTATTTCCACAACCAGATACCTAGAGAAGACACACCAGCTGAGCTTTTTGGCTTTGCCTGCGCTGATCGTCCAGATTTAGTATTTTTTTCCATGCCCTGCTTCTTGTCTAGTGCCTGCTGCTTCAAGACGTTGTCTTCCGTGTGCTTCATCAGGCGGTCAGTGCCTACCCATTCATCCCAACTGTTGCAAGACATAGTTTCAGTAATTAGTCTTGCTGAATACACTTACAATTAACAATATTCAACTACAACCTCCAAAATTCAGTTTGAATTAAACAAAAAACTAGCTTCACATTTTACTGCAGAACCTGACATACACAGCTATGTAATATAGCTATTATTCCCAGTCGCATGAAAAGGTTCTGGGGTCTGGAGTGCCAAGTTCATAGAATCTAATTTCCGTATAAATTTAGACAGCAATTGCTTTTCTTTTGGTAAATTTATGTTGTTAGAAACACACCACACTGTAAATGATTTTTTATAAATTAAAAATATTTGAAAAAAGATCATAGTCAAAGAAAGAGCTTGACTCTCCAAATAGTAACAGTACCAGGTAAAATAAGATAGAGGGAATTCAATATTGTGAATGTGTATTCAATAAATCCTTATATAGACAAAAAAGTTGAGGGACTTTGTAATACTCCGTCCTTTTCTATTTGAACATCATGGTTTGAACTTCAATGGGTAGATAGGTTTATTTCATATATTAAGCAAAGGTTAGTGCTTATGGAGAATAGTAAAAGTAGATCCTATGTAAAGTATTAAATCTTCCAATAATTCCCAATTCCGGGAAAAGGACATTCCTTTTGCAACAGATTGAAACGGAAAGAACACGTTTAATTTGAAATAAAAGGAGCATGTAGTTGAAATGATAGATATAAAACTTCACTATTAACATACAAGACCAAATTCGTTGTGCTACCTGAGGCTTTCCAAATTAAAATCATGCATTCATAATTGTCCTTTACATCCAGAGCAGCACAACATTTTTAAATCTAATTTGTCATATAACCACCATAATCAACATATCGAAATATATTCATGTCTCTTGCTCAAGGACTAGCTCCTTTGGAGCAGGACATTCAAACCAAAAACGTTAAGGCAGCATTTACAACGAACAATCAGTTGGTCAACCTTTCAAATTCTGGTGTAAATTGCTATTTATATGATACTCTTGAATTGAAAACTTTTTACAAGAACTTCATAGACTCACTTTTTGTTCCATCCCTGCAATTTAAAATAAATAAAAACGAGTATTAATTCTCGATATCGTTGCGAATATTGAAAGAAATTTAAACAAGCTAAGAATGTAAGGCTATTAACCTATTCTACAAGTTCTTTCACATCTGTTAACTAAAGAATCTCCAAATTTAATTTTTATATATAAAGCATAAGGTGAAAGAAGATGAATATTAAACTTACAAGGTAATGAACAAAGTATCTCCATTCATTCTTCCTTAGCTCTGCTTTTTGAACCTTCACAGTAGAAAAACATAGATCGCATTAGGGTGTAGCAAGAAGCTTGTGGCCAGCAATAAGTAGCATGGTTTAATTTTTTTTGATAAGGAGTAGCATGGTTTAATCAGGGTGCTAAAATTTGTAGAAGGCGACAGTACGTCATTGTACACATGATTATTTTCCATATACAGAAGAAACTTTCCCTTGTAAGAAATATACTAATTCACAAATAGTGCTTTCAAAAGCGAAATGCGCATAAAAGCAACAAGTCTCGACTCTTGAGAGCTATAAGCAAGCAGCAAAATGCACATATTCTCAAAGTAAAGAGCATGTTTAGAGAAAATACAGGAATTACCACCAACATGAGCAAATTTAGTAATTCAATGGTCCAATATACAACGGCGAAAGCACTAATCCCAATTCCCAACAACTGAAATTAAATATCAGTAAAGTGTATATTTGTTTTTAAAAAATTTATTTTTATTATACGTAGGGGGAGGGAAAACGGGGAGGGGATTACTAGGTGGAAAATCGAACCCTCACCGACAAGGTGAAAATTCAAGTAATCAACCAACCGGGCTATTAAGATTTCCCAGTAAAGTGCAATTTCAATAAGCTAAGTAGTACTTTGTTTTACAACCGAGAAATCCCCGAGGGTCAATTGCACACGGTTCAAAACTCAGAGGAAAATGGGTCCGCCACTCTACCCTTCTCCACTTAAATATCAGGTCTTTGCCTGCAACAAGGTTCAAACCCATGACTTCCACCTAACCCACATATCACGCACTATGTCTCTTCAGTAATATACCTACAAGAGATGAGGCTAACAATCCTCAGCATAAGAACCATATCTCGTCTAGAGTTGCATTCTCCTTGCACAGAAGCATGATTAGCAAAGAAGGTTGGGTAACTGTAATGGGTCAAAAGCTGAAGTAGAATTCCCCAAAATCACTTCCAGTTCGTATACACAGATCACCCATAGTTGCAGGGAAAATAAAATAATGATACAAAATCTCAACCAATAATCAAACATATAATCAGAGTAGATATAAAATAGCCGAGATTTTTGTTACATTCAATTGCGATAAACACCAAATCCAGGAGAACATACGTGCGATAGAAGGCATCGGAGTTCAATTTCCACAATTAATTACAGCATTTCAACTAAATTAGCGATTTCTGTGTAAAAAGAAAAGGCAAGTTAAGAAACGTGCCTTTGCTTCGTAGATGCGAGGGCCATGATAGGCAAGAACCTTCTCGCCTTCGGTGTAGACACTAGGTTTTGAGTCGGGCACGTCGCCAGAGGAGTTGTCGCTGTCGGTAGCAGAGTCGTCTTTGGAGCTAACCATTTCCGATTACCAGAGGGTTTCGACAAGTATCTCTTGGCCGTATACGACGGGGAAGCGACGGTGGATTTGTTTCCCACTTCTTTATCGGTTTCAAAATTAAAGGGACCAGTGAACCTGTGCCGCTGCATTTGTGCGCGTGGCTCTTTAAACCCCTTCGGATATTGCACTAATCAGTAGTATTGCCTAAAATAAGCACTTACCATTTTATATTAGTAAACAATAATTATTATTTTCTTTTCTTTCTTCTTTTACTAATTTCTACCACTGTGCTGCTATCGAACAAACTAAATTCCTTTTCATTTCTAATTCTCGTTTGCAATTACATTTGTATAGACGACGAGAGTATTTTACCTAGTGGGATTAACTATTTAGTGAACCTAGAAGAAGAGGATTAGGTTGACTGAATTAAAGTGATAAATATGGAGGGTTTATGTTTTCTTACTATAAGAAGTAAGAAATAAACCTTTCTCCTTTCAAATAAAATTTTTTGCTCGGTATTTTTGGATGGAAAAGGCCAAGTATAAGTTTTCTGTTTTGTAGGGTCTATCACGCAGAAGATCCCTCAATTACGCAAAATGATGAAGCAAACTCATTTTAGTTTAGTCGGTAACAGGAAAATCACTCAATTTTTTCTAGTGCACACAAATAGTCACTCAATCAAAATTATCAATATTTTCTGTGAAATAAAATGACATGACAGTCTACATGAAATTTTTTATTATTTGATCAAATAACACCCAAATAAAACACAAAAAATCTACTCATACACCTAACCCGTCCTGACCGGCTAAATAAAAATCCATCCACTTAATAAAATAAACACTAAATAATAACCCAAAAGAGCCATCATTTCACGCAACTCACTTCTTCTTCTTCATGGTTTCAACATGGAGTTGGAACATCGAGTAGAAAAAATAAAAAATCTCAAAGAAAGGGATTCATCTCTTCTCCTCAATTATTGTTTAACGTGGAACTGAATCACTGCCGGGGTATTGCACAGAAAATGAGAGAAAATGAGGTACCCTTAATAAATATTATTATTTTTGTCTTTATATGGTAAAATTTTTAACTTGTTATCTGTTGTTATCAAAGAACAACATGTGAAGGTTAGATTACCAACTTTTGTTAAGTGGTGTTCCTTATTTAGAAAATATTTTATCATCTTGGCAGGCATAACTCTAAATGAATTTAGTGACTGGAACTCTTTTTCATAATCAAATGGAAATAAAGTAGGAGAGGCTGAGGGCGAAGTTCCAGGAAGCGTTGCTGCTATATTTACAAGGCCCAAATTTATGGAATAGCTTCTTGATTGTTTTTGGGTGAATGGGTGAAGAAATGAATTGGTACTTTAGCGTGAAATGATGGTCTGAGGGTTTTGGTTAGTGTTTCGTGTTTATTTTATTAAGTGGGTCTGTTTTTATTTAGCAAGTTCGATCGGGTCGGGTGTATGGGTAGATTTTTTATGTTTTGTTTGGATATTATTTGGCAAAATAATAAAAAATTTCCGCGAGGACTGCTATGTCATTTCATTCCACATGAAATATTGATACTTCTATTGAATGACTATTTGTGTGCACTAGGAAAAGTTAAGTGATTTTGCTGTTACAAAACTAAAGTAAAGTGACTTTATTCCATCATTTTGCATAGTGTTTAACCAAAAAATAGAAATTTCGGTCAAAGCTTATTTGTAGAAAAACTCAGGTTACTGATAATCAAATATAAAATAAATAAGAGAAATGTACTTTAACAATAGCAGAATAAGTAAAAGAAAGCAGAGTAAATCGTTGTATTCCAATAATATTATGTGTCTTACAAATGTTATTTCTCTCATTTTATAGCTATTTCTAAGTAATACGTTTTTTTCTCTCGTAACAGAGTCATTATGAGTAATTAATGACATTTAATGTAACGTTATAATTGGTAATCGTAACTGTTTCGTGAAGATTCTATAATGGTTTCTATCATTGATGCTCATTAATTATGGATAATACGTATTTATACTTTTTGCTATCTAGGTTCATTCTTCCAACGTCTCTTCAAATCACCAAAAGGCCCGAGTAACCGTTCCTTCCTGTTTTCTTGAATCTTTGTCTGTGCATGTTAAGGTTCGTGCCTCTTCGACTATTCTTTTGCCAGCTGCCTTTCTGTTATTGATCCACGTGTCTTGACATATCAGCACTTATTTAATTCCAAATGATAACTTGATTTTTTTCAATACAGATAATCCCCCCACTTGCCATTTATTTATCAATTGAATATTTGGGAATTGGACCTCATAAAAGCGGCAATTTTGCCGCCATTCTTCGTATCATTATAACTTCTCCAAAACTGATGCTTCGCATGTCACTTCCATTTAATGCTTGTGACACGTGGTGGCTTTTGATTGGTTCTGCAATCCTTCAGCGCCTTTTGAGGCTTTTTCCGACTTGCATCAATCACGAAGTGACAGTTCTCATTATGACGTTCCCATTATTACCTTTTTTGACGGTTGCCTTTGGGTATAAATATAACCTTTTTCTTTACCTTTTCATAAAAGCTTTCCATCTTTGAATATTCATTCTTGTCTTCTTCCTCCTACAGGTATGTCTTCTTCGAACTCTAATCCCCGAAGAGTACCTATTGTCGATGAACTTCCCCTTGATCCTATTAGAAGCAGAAGAGGGGGAAGATTACATAGTTTGGGATACCTATACGAAGTGCTCCTTTACCCCCACTAGGTTCTACCCCTCCTTCTATAACTAGGGGTTCCCTTTCACATAGATCTTCTTCTAGAAGTAGAGATTCTAATGAACCAGTTCGTGAACCTTTAGTAGATGAAATTGTCCCCTTCTGGACTTTCTTTTTACACTGATAGGGAATCAATTAGGAACCAAGTTTCTTCTATGTCTTCTCTCGATCGTGCTGATGTTTACCCTTCTCAGATTACTGAAGGTTTAATCTCTGTTGTCCGTAGGGATTGCCGTTGGAAATCTGATTTTCCCATCATAATTCCTAATGCAAATCAAAGAATCACATCCTACATGACTGGATTTTCTTTCGTGTATACATATCCCTTTACACTGAATTTTAAACCTCCCATTGATCCTGTTATTATTAAATTTTGTCGTTTTTTTAATGTTTGTCTAGGACAAATTGGCCCCATTTATGTGGAGGGATGTTGCTTGTCTAAGGCATTTAGCTAGTTTGGCTAATTTGCCTTTTACTTTTTTCCATTTGATCCATCTCTACTCCCCTAAGCTATTCCGACATGGGATCTTTACTTTGGTGGCGAGGAGTAAGAGAGTTTTAGCCAGCCCCGAGGATTACAAGAACTATGGCTGGTATGCCAGATTTGTTGTTGCTCCTACTGTAGGATTAGTTGGTGAAGAGAATGTACCATTCCCTGAAAAGTGAAATTTTGCACGTAAGTTTACTTTTACAACATTCTCTCTTCTTTTTTCTTCGTTTTGAAGGGATTTGTTTTTCCCGCGGCAGTTTTAACTTTTCTCTTTTTTTTTTCTCAGCAACCATGGGAACTGTTGATGAGATTCTCAATTTCCGTGATTGGGTAGAGAAATTATTGATTGTTGCTCCGATGGAAGGTAGATCTTGGAAAAACATTTCTCACAGGTTTGGTTGGAAGGTTAAAACTCATGGTAAATACTTCACCTCTTTTCTGTTTTCGTTCACCTTTCCCTTAGAATTTATTTGACCCTTCTTTTTATCAGGGTTTCCTATTCGCGGTGTAAGTGTCGATACAATCGTGGCTTCCAGAGTTTCTTTGGCAAGAGCTCAAGATATAATTTTGAGTTCTTCATCGAAAAGGAAGGTTGATGTGACCCAGGGTTCCGAGGAGGAAGAAGAACATGATGGAAGCTCTTTGATTAGAAGGTCGCGGGCCAGAAAACGTGTCTTTTCAAATGACGAAGCTACTCCTCGTTCTGTTTCCATAACTGAGCCTGTTGAAGCCACCTTGGTAAGCTCTGACGATGATACACATGTGGCTGCTCGTGGCTCTGATGAACATCTCTTTTCTCGTGGGTTTGATAGTGAAAATTTGGATTTGGTGTCTGATGAAGTACATCTTGCCTTTTATACCGTGTCTGCCCCTGTGGAACGTTCTTTGCTAGTTTTTACTACTATCGTTTCTGCTCCACCCCAAGCTGTTATGACTTCCTCTACAATCCCCATTACTATTATTTCTCATACTGAGATTGGTTCTTCTAGTGAGAGTAGAGCGATGAAGCAGATTATCATTGAGGTCCCTGCTAATGGTAATCTTTTGAAAAAGTCAGGTCAGGCTGATGTATGGTTAAAACCTTTGATTGGTCCGGTTGAAAAGTCCAAGCTAGAAAGTCATAGCTCTTTGACTTGGATGAATGACATAGTACAATCGTCTTTGAAGGTATTGATTTCTTTTTACATTTTATTCCATTCTCCTTTTATTAAAACTTTTACCCCTTTTTGTTTAGATCAATCTCATTGGTACAGAGATGATAAAAAGGGTTTCCCATATGGAGCAGTTGATGCATGATTACCAAGTTGAAGTAGACAATTGGAAAGAACAATATGAAAGTTTTCAGCTTGATATGGAAGTTTTAGAAGAAAATAAGTGTACCTTAGAGCAACAGTTGAAGGTCTTGATTTCAGAATTAGTAGTTGAAAAAGCTTCTTCCAATCAAGCAAGCAAGGATAAAAATCTCCTTGAATCATCATTTTCCGAACAACTCTCCAAAGCCAGTAAAGAGATCAGAAGGTTGAAGGTCTTGCTGGACGAGAAAGAAGTTTATGTAGGTGAACCTGTTCAGACTCTCACCCCGACCCAAGAAGATCTTCATGTGTCTTCTGATAAGGTCAGATTTTTGGAGAGTTCACTCGCCCCTTTGCAATCTTCGTATGATGCTGCTTTGGCTGAGAGGGAGGAGCTCAAGAATGAAATTGATCAATGGGAAAGAGATTATGAGGTCCTTGAGGACAAAGCTGCTGTTGAAGTGAGTTGGGATATTTTGAACACACGCCATGATACCCTTGTGGAGGCTAGCCAATAGGGTTTTAACTTGGATGCTGAGTTAACTAAAATAAAAGAAACCATTGAAAAAACTCAACAAGGCCAAAGTTTTCCTTCTCCCATGGCTGATACTCCCGAGTACGTTGAAGCTAATCCAAGTGCGGTGGATGCCCAGCTCCTTCAGACCAAATCGAGCCTTCTATTGCTGATGATGCCGTTTTAGACTCTTCTTCTGTTCCTTAGTGAAAGTTTATGAAGTTTGACTCCCTTTTTTTCCTTTTTGGTGGAATTGGTGATATTACCCCTGGTCCCATTTGGGGGTTATATTTTTGGTGATGACAAGTCTCCAGGTCTTTTTGGGGAACTTTGTAAAAATGACAACCAGTTTAAGACTAAGTTCATACTTAGTTTAAACTTAATATTATAAAATTTTTGTTTCAACTCAACTCTCTTGAGTTTCTATTTCTCTCTTTTTGCCTTGTTTTTTTTAAGTCCAAGGTCTTAATTCGTGGGTTTCTATCTTACCCTTGTTGCATTTTCTTTTTTAAAAGAGAAAATGCTTTATTAACTTCATGGATCTTTGAATCAAACATGAATGTATAAAAGAGGGCCCTTTTATATATGACACTTAATGAAGAAGATGTCTCAACTTCATAATGGTATAAACATACAGAAGGAGAAATAGGAACACACATGTTTTCTTGAAGTAACTTTGATAAAGTTTTCATTCGAACTTTGTCAAGTTTAGATAACATCTTACATGTATTTGACTATCTTCTATTACTCTTCCGTAACTGTTTTCTTTACAATAGATTTACAAAACATAAAAATTCAAGGTTTTTTTTATGACCCATGGCTAAATACTACCTTTAACCTAAACATTCATAACATTTTGAAATCTGTATCTATAAGTGTTTTCTTTACAGGTTTTTGGATCAGACTCGCGTTTTAGGCTCGTGATTTTGCTCTGAACTTGAATAGACTTTAGGCTTGACTTGAAATTTAATCATTTCAGCCTTCTTTGCCTTCCTTATACATGCATCATATGCATATTATATAGTCCCCCAAGTGTTTGAGCTTTGAAGTATGAAATCTCGAGCACTTTATTATTCCTTCCATGTGGTCCTTTTCCTGAAAAGGAAAAACATACAGGACTCGGAGGTACGATTTTAGATGAAGATTGCTTAACCCATTAAATTTTCATCAGAATAGTTATAACCCTAGATCGAGAATTATGTCCTTTCCACGTGTCTTTCAGGTTGTAATTCATCATTTAGTACGAGTTAGCTTTCTGCCTATCATCTAAAATCGTTAGTAAAATTTTAATAATTCAAAAATAATAATCTCTAATGAGGATACCTGCCCGGTGGTGTTTTCTTTCCTTATAAGTAATATCTCCTCAGGTGAACAACATTCCAGTTTGAAGGTAGAATCTTGCCATCCAACGTTTCGAGCTCGTATGCTCCTTTTCCTGCGATACCATGAACCTTATAAGACCCTTCTCAAGTTGGACTTAACTTTCCTGCATTGGCAGCCCTTGCGGATTGGAAAACTTTCTTGAGTATGTAGTCCCCAATCTTGAAGTATCTGAGACGAGCTTTACGATTTTAATACCGTTCAATAACTTGTTTTTTGTGTTGCTATCCTTATTAGTGCATTTTCCCTTCTTTCTTCAATTAAATCCAGGTTTACCCGCAACTCTTCTTTGTTCGATTCTTCAGTAGCTTGAGTATATCTCGTACTTGGTTCCCCTATCTCGATTGGAATTAAGGCTTCAGCTTCGTACACAAGTAAAAATGGTGTTTCCCCCATACTCGTTTTTGATGTTGTTCAGTAAGCCCATAATACTCCGGGTAGTACCTCCGGCCAATTTGTTGATTCAGCTTGTCCGTTACCCACCAAATGGTAAGGAGTTGAAGTAATCCTTTTAATTCGCCAACTTTGGAAAAATTCTATGATTTGTGCACCTATAAATTACGGGCCGTTATCACATACGATTTCCTTTGGTACCCCAAATAGTCATATGATGTTCCGCCATATGAAGTCTCTGACCTCTTTTTCTCGTACCTGTTTGAAAGCTCCCGCTTCTACCCACTTAGTAAAATAGTCAATGCACACTAATAAAAATCTTACCTTGCCTTTACCTTATGGTAATGGACCTACAATATCCATCCTCCACTTCATAAAAGGCCATGGTGCAATGACCGGATGTAATAATTTAGCTGGTCGATGCATGTTGCTACCATATCTTTGACACTTATCGCATTTTGCCACAAAATTTTCTGCATCTTCTTCCATTTTTTGCCAATAATAGCCGGCTCTAATCATGGTTTTTACCAAAGATCTTACTCCAGCATGATTTCCATAATGTCCCTCATGTATTTCTCTCATTACGTACTCTGTTTGAGAAGGCCCGAGGCATCTTGTTAGAGGACCACCGAACATTTTTCGATAGAGATTTCCTTACTTTAAACAGTAGCAGGTAGCTTTTTTGCGAAGTGCTTGAGCTTTTTTCTTATCCTTAGGTAAAATCCCATGCTGCAAAAAATTGACAATTTCGTTCCTCCAATCCCAAGTTAGATTATTGTAATTTACCTCGTTTTTGTCTTGATCGAATACTGAATGAAACAAATGAATTACGGAAGCATTCTCTTCGTTTGTTACATCTGCGGCAGATGCAAGATTTGCTAGGGCGTCTGCCTCGGCATTTTCTTCCCTCGGTATTTGCATGACTTTCCAAGTTTGAAATTGCCTGACCAAATCCCGTGCCTTTTCCAGGTATTGGTGCATCCTCGCCTCTCTGGATGTATAAGAACAACACGTTGCGAGTCACTTTTGATTATTACCTGCTCTATTCCGAGCTCTCGTGCCAACTCTAAAACTGCAATCATAGCTTCATATTCTACCTCATTATTAGTAATTGGATGACACTTTATTGCTTGTCTTATAGTTTCACCCGTAGGTGGCACCAGGACAATGCCCAAACCTGCTCCTTTCACATTTGACGAACCGTCAGTAAATAAGGTCTAGGTACCTGGATTAGATCCATTAAATACATGCAGTTCTTTTTTTGCTTCTAACTATATCCCTTGGCTAAATTCTGCCACAAAATCTGCTAAAACTTGTGATTTTATTGCAGTTCTAGGTTGATATGAAATGTCATATTCACTTAATTCTATAACTCACTTGGTTAATCTACCAGATAACTCTTGTTTATGCAATATATTACGTAAGGGGTAGGCGATTACCACAGAAATATGATGACATTGGAAGTAGGGACTTAATTTCCTAGATGTCATAATCAAAGCTAATGCAAGTTTCTCTAAATGAGGATATCGAGTCTCAACCTCTAGCAGAGATTTGCTAACATAATAAATTGGTGATTGTTTACCTTGATCTTCTCGAACTAATACTGCACTTACCTCCACTTCTGAAACTGCAAGGTAGACAAGCAATTTCTCCCCATTTTTTGGTTTGGCTAACAATGGTGGATTTGATAGGCATGACTTTAAATTCTTAAGTGCTTATTGACATTCTTTAGATCATTCAAATTGATTATACTTTATTAAAGCTGAAAAGAATTTGAAGCATTTTTCTGATGATTTGGAAATAACCTGCCCAAGGCTGTTATTCTTCATGTTAGCCTTTGAACTTCTTTTTTGCTCATGAGTATGTCCAAAATTTCTTCTATGGCTTTAATCTGCGCAGAATTTACTCCAATGCCATGGTTAGAAAAAAAATCCCAAGAACTTACCTGATGAGACGTCAAATGCACATTTCTCAAGATTTAACTTCATGTTGAATTTGTGAAGAATCTGAAATGTATCAGTCAAGTGTTGAATATGGTCTCCTGTTTGTTGCGATTTGACCAACATATCATCTATATACACCTCCATGGTTTTGCCGAAAATCTCTTGAAACATTTTGGTCACTAGCTTTTGGTATGTGGCCCCAGCATTTTTTAAACCGAATGGCATGATTTTGTAACAGTAAGTCCCCTTGTCTGTGATGAAATAAGTTTTCTCTTCATCTAGAGGATCTATTTTAATCTGATTATACCTTGAATAGGCATCTAAAAAACTTAACAATTTGCGCCCTGCAGTAGCATCAATTAATTGATCTATATGTGGTAATGGAAAAGAATCTTTAGGGCAAGCTTTATTCAAATCAGTATAATCTACACAAACTCACCACTTACCATTCTTTTTAGGTACTACCACAATATTAGCTAACCAATCTGGATACTTTACCTCGCGGATAAATCCAATTTTTAAAAGTTTCTGCACCTCAACTTGAATCACCTGCTTTTTGAAGGAGCCTTGTTTCCTTTTCTTTTGCTTGACAGGTGGGTACGATGGGTTTTCATTTAATTTGTGAGTTATCACCTCCGGTGGTATACCTGTTATGTCTGAATGGGACTAAACAAAACAATCTGCGTTAGTTTTTAAAAATTCAATTATCTTACATTTCATTTTCGTGCTGAGGTTGGTTCCAATATAGACTTTTCTGTCTTGCCAATATAGTCT